CACTGTGCCCTGCCGGGTCCCCTCCCCTCCTGTGGCGCAGCGGACCAGGGCACCCCGCAGGACTCAGCTGAGCGCTGGGCGCGGCTCCCCGGCTTTCAGCGTGGGCCTGGCGCAGGGCCTGGCGGCAATTCTAAAAAGCCTCAACCCCGGGTCGTGCCCCGGCCTCTCCAGGCCCGGACCTGCCCCTCGGGAGACTGCAGCTGCGTCAGGAGCCGGCACCAGGCTGGTGCCTCTGCCGTGTGCTCAGGGCCCCACATTTCGCTGGTCCGGGCAGGCCTGGCCCAGTCGGTGTCGGTGCCGTCACGTGGCCCCGCACCCGCGATGGCGAGGAATGTCCCCACTGACTCAGCGCCACCACTGCGTGTTTGGCTGGTGTTGACTCGGCCCTTGGTGGGGGCCTGGCTGGCCTGTGAGTCAGGGCCCTGGCCGCGGCGAGGCACCCGGAAGGGCTGCATGGGGTGCGGGTGACGCAGTGAGTGAGTCACACCTCAGCACGAGCAGGTGCACGTGCACGCACTTACATGCACACACACGTGTACACACACATACACACACAACACACACAACTTGGGCACACACCTACATGCACACATGCATACACATGTGTGCATGGAAACATGCAGAGCTACACGGTGCACATATAAACGCATTCACACGTCCATACAGCACACCACGCCCAAGCACGCGTCTACATGTGTGCAAGGCTATGCTAACACTTGTATGTCTGGGTGTGTGCACACTACAGACATACATGTACCTACGTGTACATACACACACTAGGCATGCATGTCACAGAATTCACACTTAGATACACACAAACAGACACACATGCTCATGCACACGCAGAAAAGCACACATACATGCACAATACACTTGTGCTCAGACACACGTGTGTGCTAACACAGAGAAATGCACATGTGCACACATTTGCATGCTGATGAGAAGACACGCATGTGTGCGCAGACTGCAGAGCCACACATACAAACGCACACGCATGCCGTGTACACCCTTGTACACGCACATCCACGCATGGGCACACAGACACAAAGGCGTGCGCACGCAAACGGGCATGCGGGCCACGCCCACACGCAGAGTGCCCCCAGCTGGCCAGAAGCCTCTGCCGCCGGAGCTGTGCCAGCTGTGGGGACGACGGGGTCCTGGAGTCCTGGGGCCGCCCTCGTGGGCGCGGAGTAGGACCCCTCCACTGGCTTCCAAGGAAAGCAGCCGTGGGGCCGGGCCGTTTGTTCGCCGTCCAGGGCTATATTTAGAGCTGAGTAACTTAGGTATTTAAGTGAGGCCAGGGCGGTTTTCCCCGCGCTGGGTGCAGCGTGGCTGCTTTGAAACTGAGGTTGAATCAGATCCCCGAAGCCCACACGGCCTCGGCTCCGGCGCCCGCCCCGCCCCTCCTGTCCCGGGAAGGCGCTGGATGTCTGCCCGCCTCCCAGGCAGGCGGCGTGGCCAGAGGATTTTTTTTTCTAAACTGAATTTGCGATTGGGACCCTGTAGACTGGCATCCACCGGTAACAAGTACCAGGGACGCTCTGTGTGCCCTTCCTCGGCCCCTCGCAGCGACACTGCCCGAAGCTGGTCGGCGTCGACGCCAGGGTGTCAGGAAGAGCACAGCCACTTCTACTGTGACCTGTGCAGGTTTTTCGTTTGTTTGAGACAGGCTCTTGCTACATTGCCCAGGCTGTGCTGGAACTTGTGGTCCTCCTGCCTCAGCTTCCCAGCACTCCGGGAAGGCCTGCGTGCACACGGGCCCGGCTCCATCTCCCCGGCGGCCCCAGCCTCTCCTTCCCTAAGCCTGGACTGCTCCTCTGCAGGATAAGTGGAACCCTACCCACTGTCAGGACTGGGATCGGGCCGCGCCCTCCGCAGCATTCCCCGGAGATCCATGCATTCCAATTTATGGCCAAGTAGGAATTTTTCCAAAATCTGAACTCTGTCTTTACTTGTCTGCGGCTACCCAGCTCGACCGACTACAAAGCAGACGGCGATGTCATGCGTTAATGACAGACACGAGTGCCGCGTAATTAACCGGCTGAGTGTCTGCCTGGCTGAGATCGGGGCTCCCGGGACTCCAGAGCTGGCTCCCCCGGCCCCCGCGCCGGGCCGGCCCAACCGGCGCCCACCCGCCAGCACCGACCCACGGGCTGGGCGTCTGCCTTGGGGCCGCCTGGGCCCTGCAAGGTGCTGAGCCGCCTGGTGTCCCGGGGAGGGGAAGAATCACCCCAGTTGAGACGCCCTGGGTTAGAATCCATCAAGTAAAAATTGGATGGGAGAAATAGAACTTTTACTGCCTAAAGCAACAGAAAAGATTTGCATAACTCAATTAGAGAAGTCAATTATCATCCCGCACGGCTGGTGGGAATGTGAGATGCGCCAGCCACTCTGCAAACAGTTGGAAACTTTTTTTTCCAACAAGGTCTTGCTACGCAGTACAGGCTGGCCTTGAACTCACTGTGTAGCTCAGGCTGGCCTCGAACTTGCAGCAGTCCTCCTGCCTCAGCCTCCAGAGTGCTAGGATTACAGCTGTGCATCACCATGCTCACTTAAACAATTTCTTTAAACATGCACATGCACGCACACATACACACACACACACATACTACGTGACCAAGTGACTGCATTCCTCAGCATGTATCCCAGAGGAATAAAGAAGTCACATGGCCACACAAATATTAATGGCATCTTTACTTATGATAGACAAAAACTAGAGTGAACTCTTAGGTCTTGAGTAGATTGATTTTTCTCTTTGCAGTATGAGGAATTAAACCCAGGGCCTTTGCACTGAACTGCATCCCTAGGTCTTTTCATTTTTACTTTGAGGTGAGGTCTCAGTAAATTACCCAAGCTGGGCTTGAACTTGCAGTCTCCTGCCTCAGCCTATCAGAGTGCTAAGATGACAGATGTATGCCCCCCATGCCCACCCAGGTGGATGTTTTAACCAACTGAGGTCCTTCTCTTCAGTGGAATACTACTGAGGAATGAAGAAGAGCAAAAATATTGATACATGCAACAGGCTGGGGTAGGTCATCAGTCTCAAGAAGTTATACTCTGTGTGGCTCCATTCTCTTAGCGTTCCTTGAAAGGTGAAACTATGGAAAAGAAGAATCTCTGCATATTTTCCAGAGGTTTGGGACAGGGATGGGGCTGGGGTTCTCGGGAGAAGTTATCACAATGCAACAGGGCATATCCTAGTGTCAGAAAGGTTTCGAACCATGATTAGTTTCTCAGAATGCTGACCACTGCTGGGAAGCCAGTGGTCCCCATAAAGATAATGAGACCCCTCTCCAGCACTACTTGATTTTTGTTCGTTTGTTTGTTTCCAGTACCGAGAATCGAACTCACGACCTTGTGCTTGCCAGGCAGGTGCTGTGCCGCTGAGCTAAATCCCCAGCCCTTCCAGCACTACTTGAAATTGTACATTAAGCCTGGTAGAACACACCTACCATCCCAGCAGTCTGGGAGGCTGAGGCATGAGGATTGCAAGTTCAAGCCCAGCCTCAGCAACTAAGTGACTTAGACAGACCCTGTCTCAAAATAAAATTTAAATAAAAGGGCCCAGATTTAGCCCAGTGCAAAGGCCTTGGGTCCCATCTCCACTACCCCCACCCTAGAGAAAGAGGGAAGTTTATGCACAGACACACAGGAAGGCAGCTGTGTGCAGAGAGGGGTGACACGGCCACAGCTGACCGACAGCTGGAGCCCCAGATGCAGGGCAAGGCCGGAAGGACCCTCCTGGCTCCGCCCCCCAGAGGCAGCGCAGCCCTGCACAGACCTCAGTCTCCCGGCCTCTGGACTCCAGGACTGCGGGTGGGTAAATTCCTGTTGTTTGAAAGCGCTGGTCCCAGAGCCCTGGGACACCAACAGGGACTGTGCACCAAGCACTTCACAGAGCTCCCGAGATCCCAGCTGCCTAAGGGCTGTGACCATGACACACTGGGGCTATTTTGGTTTGGATTTTTTTTTGTTTTGTTTTGTTTTGTCTTTTTAAGACATCATCTCGCTATGCAGTTCAGGCTGGGCTTGGCTCACTTTGTAGCCCAGGCTGACCTCGAACTTGCAACGGTCCTCCTGCCTCAGCCTCCGGAGTGCTGGGATTATAGGCATGTGCCACCATGCCCAGCTGGATTTTTTGTTGTTTTTTTTTTAACTTAGGGTCTTCACAATAAGCTACATCACAGCTTTTTTTTTTTTTTTTTAAATTTTGAGACAGGGTCTCACTAAGTTGCTTAGACTGGGCTTGAACTTGGGATCATCCTGCCTCAGCCTCCCAGAGCACTGGGATGACAGGCGTGTGCTGTCCCAGGAGTCTGTTACCCAGGCCCCTCCCTGCACTGCTTTCCCAAGAAGTCATTCTGAACAGGAAACGAAAGCGAAATTCTTGCTGGGGCCTCTCCTGGGACAGCAGGGTCAAAACCCAGGTCACAGCGCTTGGCTGCCTCGCGGGGAGAGCAGGCCCCTGTCATGTGGGGAAAGGTTTGCTGAGTGAATGAAAGAAATCGGTCCGGGTCCTCCAGCCAAAGGGTGACCCACCTGGCTCCCCAGTGACCTGTGTCAGTGCAGAGACAGCGATTCTCTTCTGGGGACAGTCCTGCTCCCCCAGGAGACTTGGTGACGCGTGGGGACGTGTGTGGCCATCACCCTGGGGGAGCGCCTGGCACGGGGCTCAGCACCCTGCCGTGCCCGGGACACACAGAAAGCCTCACGCCTCCCCCACGCCCCCGCTGTGGAGGGGAAGAGCCCCGACAGGGCGGAGATCAGAGGAAGCCCTGCCGCCTGTCCCCGCCCACCCTGTGCCCCTCACGGGGACACTGGCCGCAGACCCTGTGCCCTGAGCCCTGAGCGGCACGGGGAGGGCCGTGGGGCGACACCGTGCTTAGCCAGGCTCCCTCCCAGCCGGGGGTGCGCACAGTGCAGCCTCTGCCCAGGGGTGGCTTCTCTGTGGGCACAGTCCCGGCACACCCCAGCTGGCTCACGTCCCCCTCACCCCACAGCTCTCTGCACGCCGGGGGCCCAGACTGATGGCCAGCGATGTCAGCCACTAACAATGTAGCGCAGGCCCGGAAGCTCGTGGAGCAGCTGCGGATCGAAGCTGGCATCGAGCGCATCAAGGTGAGCCAGGCCCCGGGGAAAACGGGGGGAGGGAAGACACCGCAGGCGCTCTGCGAATCGGGATGCAGCTGCAGAGGGGAGTTTTGCTGTGTGACCCTGGGCCACTTGCTTGGCCTCTCTGAACCTCCATTTCTCAGCAGAGTGGAGCAGCTGACAGAACAGCTCCATGTCAGGTTCTTGTGCCACAGGCTTCGGGAACACCGTGGGACCCGCGGTCGGGCTGCCCAGACCCCTGCCCTCAGACTAGCGCTTCCTTTCTCCTCTGGTCATCCGCAAAGGGCAGATGACAGGTGACAACAGAAGTTATAGACACGGGAACCTATAGACATAGGAACCAGATGTCTCTGTGGCTACTTTGTATGTGTCTGCAGTATTTGCATTTTTTATAATGCCTGTTTGAGCTTTGCGCTAAAACAGACCAAGGAACGGAACTTCCTGCTCCTGCCACGGGGCAAAGGAGGAAGCACACAGTGAGGCCAAGAGGACCCTAAAGAATAAAGATCTGCGTGACATGAAGTTCACTAT